TTCGGATTTTTATTTCGGACCACTTACAAAATCCGAAATATTTCGGAATTTGAAAAACAATTTCGCCCGAAGCTTTAAATCAAAATAAAAAATGTTAACCAAATTTTCGAAAGGATTTTCAATTTAGTTGATTCTGATTGGTGAATATTTGTGCTCCAGAATCAAATTGGAAAGGATCTACAGTATCAATTGACGAAACTCCTGACGATTGATAAAACCCTTGACGAATCAATTTAAACAATAAAACATTATAATACAGTTAGCTCTCTTTCAACGAACTTCTTAGCACGACCCCCGGATGCTGAATATAATTTTTTTTTAAATACTGTAATTTATAATTGACAATCACAGGTCGAATGAAGGCAAATTGGGCTCAAACCGGCATCATGTAATCCCGATATGAACCTAGTATGAAACAGCTACTTGGCGGAAATAGAAGACCTTTAGGATATAGATCGGGAGATCGATACATATCGGGATGCCGATAGCTCTATAGGTAAATCCATAAAGCTATAAGGCAAGATACGTCGATTTACCAATAGAGCTATCGGCATCCAATATGTATTGATCGCCCACATTAACCTGATTTGTATGCTAAAGGTCTCCTAATTCTGTATTTCGCCAAATATCCATTTCAAATTAGGTTCATATCGGGATTACGTGATGCTGGTTTGAGCCCGATTTGCCTTCATTCGACCTGTGAATGATTTCTTATCAAATCATGAAGCCTTTGACAATTCCATTTATAATGAACACTGGATGTATGTACTTTTAATTATTTTATTTTTAGTATTCTCCGTTAGCCAATCGGATACTTCCAGGAAGTAAACCTTCTTCAGATAATTTTGGGGTAAATGTGTAAAAAAATTGAAAAATGAATAGATAAAATAATGCAACCAGAAAAATTAATATAACATGTACTGATTTGTAATTATTCGTCATAGGTTTCACCATTCGTCAATTAGTCATACAAAAAATTCCTTGACGAAACATTTCGTCATTTGTCAATTACGAATGACGAATCATTCGTCAAGTATCAGTGAACAGGAGGAACATCGATGTTACACTACTGATCCTTCAACCGGTGTGCAACATAAAAAAAAATTAATTTACTATGCCAGATCATTCCGCTAGTACATGTTATGATTATAATCCCACACCATTTTATATAATAATAAAATGGTGTGGGATTATAATCATAACATGTACTAGCGGAATTATCTGGTATATTGCACACCGGTTGAAGGATTATTAGTGTAACATCGACGTTTCTTCAGCTCGGGATTTTCTAACCTATACCATTGATCTGTTAAACCACTAAATTAAGCTCACTCCTACTATATATTAATAATATATAAAAAGTTTTACTTCAATAAAGAAGTTGCGATTACTACAAAAACACAGTATTTTCATCACTCTTTGCAAAATAGTGTGACAAATAATGTTTTAGAATTCTATGAGAAGACCCAAAGCAAATCCTTCTTTCAACTGGCTTCTCAAAATGTCAGCATGATGTTGCAAGTGCATCAGTAAATACATTCCATATATACCAGGAACAGAGTGCATGGTTATATGGCAAGTGAAAGGATGTATCCGAATTCATGAATCTGATTGGATTACGTTTTTATGTGATTTGGTACTTCTATATTTGTCGAGTTTTCTAACAGGACGTGCGTACGTACGTTTATATAATATGAATTATCTTTATTAATTACGTATCTTTAATAGTCAAAAAAAAATTTAAACCCGAATTTATATTGGTGTTGTATATTTAAAATTACTACCGTTTAAGTTATTAACCATTTGATTTGTTTATAACAGCCCTATGTACCATATGCGAATATTTCATAAAAGACTAGCACTTTGATAATGAATTGACAACTTGGACATTTTAAGATTTTTTTATACTTTTATTTACAACCCAGTACAACTAACTTGTCTTTTTCGCCTTTTTTCATCTATATTTAAAATAGTTTAGCACATACAATGATTTTGTAATTCGATTTTGTCTTTACTGGTTGCAACAAGAATTGATCAAATAAAGCATGGCTTAGATCACAATATACTTGTGGTATATTGTCAAGTTCATTATGCTTTATAATTTTATGTTATACGTATCTTCGGCATATCTATGGAGAAATAACTTCTTGCTAAATAAAGTAAACAATGCAATTATTGTCACACAAATATGGTAATCGTTTGAGCGAAGATATTTCTTAGTACATAAAAAATATCACTAAATTCTTATAAAAATACTTTAACTTGATCTGTTTACTTCTCTGTTAAAGCTTGTTGAGAAATAAATCTTATGATTTCTCGCCAAAGCTTTGAGAATAATTCATGTTGTACGATCATGTTCTAAAAATATCTACGTAATTCTTACGATTTATATCAAATTTATACAAAGAATAATAAGTATCGTAAAATCTGTCTTGCAATTAAGTATGTATTTCGTAACCTATCACCACGTGTCACTGTATTTCATATGCTAAATAATCAAGTCTGTATAAGGCCATACAAAGTTAATTTTTCATTTTGCGTTACATGGAATCTGAAAATTGGGTCAGTTGGTCGGATTTTTTTTTTTTTAAAAAAAAAATATACACTTTAATTTGATAGAATTGTGTTCAAATTTTAAGGCTACGCAAAGTTAATCTTTTTTGCATAACAAGGAATTAGAAATTGGGTTGGCAGTCTTTTTTCTGTCGGCCCGATCGATACTTCCGGGATGTCAGGGTCTCCATCGGGTGATACCGGATAAAAATAGCAGAAAAAAATAAATAGCAAAAATAGAATAATTGGCACATTTGGGATGTAAAAAAAAAATAAAAATTTAGAAAATTTGAAAAAATGGGTCAGTGGGTAATGTAAAATGAAAAATTAAATTTGCGTGGCCTAAGGTATTATAATAAAAACTTACCAGTACGGATTTTTTATGAAGATGCATTATTTGTGGAATTTGTAAAAAAGATCTGCGTCATGACATCAATAATAACGCCCTTATTTCCACTGTGGGGAAATAAGCCGTAGATCTCCGGTTATATGAGGGCCCTCATATAATAATAACAGGGAATTTACCTCTTATTATTATTCACGCCGTTGCAAAAAATAAATAGTATTTATTCATTTTTAATTTGATTTCTTCATTTAATCGGCGATTATCATAATAGTGGGTGTAATTAAAATAAGCCATTTCTTATATTTATAGTAAATTAGTCTGTAAGTATAGTCTAAAATATTCAAAGAAAATTTGCTGCTCCTTAATATCTCAGTAAGATTATAAATTATCTGCCATTAAGTCACTTATTTAGGTTATAAATTTAACCGATAAGTATAAAATAATTTGCCAATCAAACTAGTCGAAAACAGTGTACACACTTCTTATTAGTTTTATTGTTCCGTAATGATTTCAAGTTGATTCAGTCAATATTATTTATTAATCAAATATTTGAAATACCATATAGATCCAATAATAAGCATCCACCGAAAATAATCCCCATAATTTTTTCATGTCCGAAAATAAGCACCCCTTTTAATAGTTGCCAGATTAGTAACTGGTTAAAAACCGGACTCCTTCATTTTATATCCGAAAATAAGCATCCCTATAACAAAAAAGAGGCGCGTATTTTTGAACTATACGGTAATCTATGTATCTATTATTAATTTCTTATATTATTCTGAAAATTTATATATAAAATATTATAAATTTTGGTCTTATATGAACTCATGTTGTATGGTGACTATATTAGCCGTCCAAACCTAATTAGTTTAGACTTTGGGACTTTCTAGGGTATTAACCATTATTTGGGACTAGTTAAACCCGTGGAACTTGTCCCAAACTTACTGAGTAAATTGGGATTTGGGCCAAAATTTCAGATATGTAGATTTTATAAAAAAAACAACTTTGTGATGATAGCGGGGTTGGAACCGAAAAAATTTTCTTAAATTAATACCAATATAAATTGTTGTTGACAATAAAATAAATTTATTTAATTGGTTTTTTATTCGTTGATAAATTATAGAAACAAATAAATACCGTTATTTATACATTATTTATGCAATAGAAATATCGTTATTTATATAATTTTAAAACCAGTTACTTTGTTAAATTACATGTTTTTCCACATAAGGAAACCCCGTTATTATTACCCCATGTTCCCCACATTTCGCTTTTTCTCATCAATCCATTATAAATCCATGAGTGTGCGGCATCATATTGTTTGGTGAAGTTAACCGAACCATTAGCTGATATGTGTCCTTGAATTGTAAATTTCCCAGCTTTATCTATGCCATTGGATCCAAAAATCGTATTACCGCCAGCTGGATTTCTTTGTACAGTTAGGTCAATTGACAATTGATCCTTGCCATTATTTGGGTTATAGAAATAATATCACACCACTTTCCTGTGAGCGATCTTAGCAACCCGTCTAATAATGAATTTTCCAAGATCCGGCTGGCTAGGAGTGCCCCAATTTCCATAAAACATCTTGTGAGAGTATTGGCCTTGATAGTGCCAGACTGCATTACCATTACAATTGATATAACGTTTAATAAATGTGATAGTTTTTGATGATAGATTATGCTGGCCTTGCTCGATAATATAAGAACCTAATCCATCCCTTCCGCTACCGGAAACAAGAGAAATCCAATTGTTAGGATGTTGTCCTAAAAATGTTAATTCTATAGTTGACAAATCTGGCTGATTCATTCTATCTGTGTAAAATATAGAGTATTGACCATTCCACCAACTCGATATAAGATTATTTTGTAATGTCAAAAATATTGATTTGAAAAAATGATTGTAAATGTATGGATAAATTTTGTTTGATCGCTAAATGAAACTTACCAACAGTCAATGGGTATTCACGACCATCTATCTGATAAAAATTAGACAAAATATCACGGTATTCCATAAAAAAAGTACCATCATTTCCGAAGGAATATTCCAATTCGTTTATTCTAGTTAATGTTCCTTTATTTGTCCATGGCCACCAGATTGGATCAGAATCTGCCCATCGGCCTATGAAAAAGAATAGTAACGGAATTAAGTGAAACAACTTTCAAAAAATTAATTGAGTTGTACTTACCCTTCCATTCAGTATTCGCCCACGGATTACGAATTTTGACCAACATATTACTGTGGAAATTTACGGCACGAAGAATGGTGTATACATGATTCCCGACTAAACCATCTGCTCCGACGTGAGACATTATTTCAGGTTTTTTAGTTTCGCCATTAATACAAGTAAATATTTTGCGTCCATTAATGATGGAATAAATCGAATCCCACGATTTAATATCTCCTTGTATGTCAATACCACCTAGACTCGTAAGTGCTAAAGACGGCCAATTTCCATCAATACTTTCGTAATATAATGAATTTTGGCAAATGCCTCTGAATATAATTTATTATTGTTAGTATGTTTCTAGTTACTTAACAGTTAATTAAAATTAATTAAAAGAAATACAGATTTACTTTCGAGAAGCGAAACCCAAGTTACTCATCCTTCGCTATGAATATATATATCATATTGTTGGTTATGAAACGACTATGTGAACGTTATTAAATTTTTTTTTTGAATTACCTGAATACTAATTCGTTAGAATTACTATTATAGAACAAATAGTCATCAACTACAGTACCAATCCAGCTCTTCTTGAAGAATATAAAGCCATATATCTACATAGTTTTGTTTATTATGAATTGTCAAATTACGATTTTGATTATTTAGGACAGATGATGTTTTTAACTAATTACACCAAGATTTTCATTGTATTCGACAGCAATAGAATTGATAAGACCTTCAACTTGTGCGGCTCCAGAAAGAACGGCGAGAAACCAACTTGACCTAAAATAGTTATGTTATTAATTGTATACTTTGCTATAGTAACATCGTTACTGTGTAAGAAGTTTTCTGTGAATAATTACCTTGTTTAACATCGTCAGGACTCGTACAACCCCGTACTCCAGCACAGAATCGTCGATTTTGATTTGGGATACGCTTAGATATTGTCATTTTTGGATCATACTTAAAAAATGTGCTCAAACTGGGTCTATCATGTTTTTTATAAAATGCTTTTAACGGGCGTTCTTTAATATTCCATTCATTGTCTGTAAATTCGCTTCCCTGGTTTATAACTCGGGTTCTAATTTTTTGGATAATATCATTACGATTAGATCCAAAAAAAACGGTGTTCGTATCTTCATTTCTTTTCCATTTTGATATAAGGTCATCTGTAGCCATTGATAATATGAAGGTAGGTGCGTATAATGGTACTTATATAGCTGCGCATTAATAAAATAATAAGATTAATGAACGTTCTTAGATATTGTAAAGATTGAAAGCATACCAATACGTTTATTTTACAAGACTGCGGGAAGGATATATCAAGGAAGTTTAGTTTGTGCTATTTATACGTATTTTAGTGTAACAGAAGCATGTATGTTAGCGTTTGTCGTTTGTTTTGGCTGTCATGTCTCGCCTTTAAAATGTGTAAGTACAGTACGTTGAAAAAGGGTAAACTTGATCGGACTTGGGGAAAATCGGCGCTACGGATAACAACTAACACTAATCTAATCCAAATCAACACTCCAAACAGCTAAACTCTATCCGAACTCTAATGTTGGAAGGCACGAAAGAGGCGTGGAAGACTTGGTCCGAGTTATTAGGGCCAAATAGAGCTCAAGACTACGTCACGAGGCTCTAATTCGGGATCACAGATAGTTTATCGGGAATTAGGAGAATGAACCTTATGAGTTTATGCGTAAAGCGATAACTGACTTTATT